ACTTCGGCAGATCTGCATTCATCATTCAGAAAATGATGTGAAGAATATCCTCAAAGATACATACTGAATCCTTAAGATTTTCCAAAACCATATAAAATTACGTTTGACATTTGTTGCTCAACATGCTCCTAACAAGATATAGATAGAATCTTCTCAGAATTTCCTCAGTTTAGCAGTTTCACATAGTTCATTATTTTATTACTTAAATTCTTCTCTGATATTCATATAAATGATCATCCTACAAAAAGATTCTGCTATGTTTTTCTATCAAAAGCATAGATGGAATTAGCATCACTCTTTCTTTGAGGAGCTCTTTACAGCAATCTCCAGGTGTTATTTTTATGATCAAAAAGATCTTGGCAAAAACTAGAAGTAACATAGATGTAAGAATCGTTACCAAATCCTTTTTTCTCAAAAGAAACTAGGAAAAGATTTCTGAATTTTTATCTGTTGAATGAGCATTCTCAAAGATGAATGTCATATTTGTAGCGCTTACCCCCACAAGAGACGAGATCTCTTCGACAACGACGATTTCTTTTCTTTTTTGTTCATTGTAGTAATTCCTAATATTCCAGCTGATGCCCGATGGGCACAGAATGGAGTGACGGTTGCTGGAGGCCATGGACAAGGCAGTGCTACCAACCAACTCAACTACCCTTTCGGTCTCTTCGTTGATGATGATCAAACGATGGTCATCGCTGACTGGTGGAATCATCGTATCATCCAATGGAAGATGGGTGATACGAATGGACAAGTAGTAGCTGGTGGCAATGACGAAGGAAATCGATTGGATCAATTGAATTACCCAACCGATGTATTGATTGACAAAGAGACGGATAGTCTCATTATTTGTGATTGGTTGAATCGACGAGTCGTACGATGGTCTCGTCGTAGTGGTACAACTCAAGGAGAAATTCTCATCGACAACATCGATTGTTGGGGATTGGCCATGGATAATCAGAGATATCTCTACATCTCTGACGACGAAAAACATGAAGTAAAACGATATCAAATAGGAGACAAGAATGGAACTCGTGTGGCTGGTGGAAATGGCAATGGTGCTGGTCTCAATCAACTCAACCATCCGACCTACATCTTTGTCGATCAACAAGAGACTGTCTACGTGTTAGACAGGAACAATAATCGTGTAATGAAATGGAATAAAGGTGCAAAAGAAGGAATTGTCGTCGCTGGAGGTCAAGGCCAAGGGAATGCTCTGACACAATTGTCGAATCCTCAAGGGCTGTTCGTCGATACATTGGGTACCATCTATGTGGCAGACTCGTGGAATCATCGAGTGATGCGTTGGCCTAAAGGAGCGAAACAGGGCACTGTCATTGTGGGTGGAAATGGTAAAGGAGCAAATCAGTTCAAGACTCCCATCGGTTTGTCTTTCGATCGACATGGCAATCTCTATGTCGTCGATATTGAGAACAATCGTGTTCAACGATTTTCAATCGAATAGACTCGTCGTGATAGATTTTTTTTGCGTTCTTTTCGTTTCAAATAAATCGTATTGAATTGATGAAATAAATGGCTATTCTATTCGCGCGCGCGCGACCAGGAACCATCCTGGTGGAGCCGTGGCGAGCGTAACGCTCGTGCACGCACAGGACAGACTCATATCATTCATACCCTCCCCGTGAGAGATAAGTCAATAAGTCTGAATAAGCCTGGTCGTGTGCCACGGACACCAAGATAGTTCCTGGCCAGTGTTTAACGTCTAACCTGGGAAGACGATCTAACTAACACCCATAACTCTATCTCAC